CCCACTTCATTTTTAGTATTACGGAAATTTTAAGATTTGACCCAATTTGACCAATATCTATTCATTGTCTACATATACATATATTACTATCTTCGTTATTCTTATTGCCACGCTCATAAACCTTGTTATCATTGTTTTTGTTATCATTATAATCGTCGTTATTACTGACGTTCAAAAAATCTAACACATTAGTATTATTATTATTATCTGATCCACAAACTCACCGTCATTGGTTAAATTTTCTATATGGAAAGCTATGCAAATTAGAGCCTGGAGAAGATTTCATTGAAAACAATATTGTTCGCTTAGATGTCTTGTTCTAATATTATTGATGGGGATATTTACAGGTAAATTCACCATGGAAGAAGTAACTTTTCAGGCAGTAAATCTACGGTAGTAATACGTCTGAGATTTAAACCATTTGTGCGAAATTCATACGTAAATCAATGAAAATGAATGTCTTTAGTAACCAGTACGCTTCTCATCTCTAGTTTCATTTTAAATAGCATAATGATACATACAACTGATTGGTATGAATAATTGGAGACCACTCAACAGAACTGGCATAGTCATATAAGCAGCTGGTGACCGTTTTGTACGTTCAAAGTCCCCTTCTTTGGTAGTATGCACAGACAGACTTAGATCGGAGATTTAAATCAGTTCAAATCAACCAAACTTTTACTTTACATCGAATAACTTGTGTTGGATTCAATTAACTAATGAAAATGTACCAGTGATTTGAGAAAAGTTGAAAGTTTTACATCTCACTTTCACTGAAATATCTCAAAGAACTAGCGTGTGATAGTGGGAGTAACTGAAGTCCTCATCTTATAAGTATGCAGTTTATTACACAAAAATAAACATGAGCACCAATCATATCAGCAACACCCACTGACCAATCAACAACATTAGACAATGCGAATGAAGTTTTCTTAAACGATTAATTGCGGAATTGATCACTATCATCGTTTATGTATGTGTTCATGGGATACAAAAAACACATACGAGTTTTGTTGTTTTCACTGATGTTATACGGTAAGTCTTACCAAAGAAAGATATGTTTTTAACTTTTAGTTTATGACAAGAGTATAACCACAGTTTTTGCTCAGTCTAGTCAAACCAGTGAGGTAAATACGTACACAGTGGTATCAGGAGATAATATATGCATACTTATGAAAGCCAGCATCAAAATCGTTGTACCTTTAAAAGTATGTTTTATCAGAATATGTATATATAATGTGTGAAACTATTGTCTCATTATTCTTGTTTTTACAATGTTACCCTTGACAGACAAATAAGCAGTTCAAACAATTTATTGTAGGAATGTAAATTTTTAATGCTTCAAAACCTTAACAAGAAGTAAAAGATAAAACAGTTTAAAGAACAAACTTCAGTATAGAAGTTAATTGGTGGATGGTGACTAGCAGTGGAATCCAGGATGTGCATTACGTCCTGATTGGGACTCATCGTCTGGATGTACCTGCATTCCGCAGTGAGTGATGACGTTCCCACCGATGCTCGAACCCAGTGCCCATAGTTTACAACCACAAAGCGTTATACACTAGACCACTTGGGGCATGACAGCCACCTCTTTTGCGCATCCTGGATTCCACTGCTAGTCACCATCCACCAATTAACTTCTAATTACATGCCTGGACATCGTCGAAGCAACTGCGTAAGAAGCAAACATGTCAACCTGAGACCAACCACTACGGTCCAATCAATCGGCTGGAAAATCTAAAATTTAATTAAACTTCATTTTGGTTTATTTTTTATGACTGATAACCTGAATTCATGACAATTTCTAATAGTCATTATACGCTATGATAACATGAAGTGTATTATATTAACAACAGAAAGCTGATAGGTCAGTAGTGTATAGAGTATATTGGACACTTTTCTCGCAGTTGTATGATATTGCTTGAAGGTGTATTGTTAAGTCATTTCATAAATAACTGAATACCACTCAGGTTCTTTCCCGAGAATTTCACTATGAAAACCCATTTTCGAAATATAACACCTGAAATTATCTTGTTTCGCACAGTTTAATGTCTAACAGAGTTGTGCTAAATTCGCAAAATATGGACTTCCAGCCTGATATCTAATTACATTCACTTCACACTTTCTGGTTTCTGATTGGAAAATCACGAAATGATATGCGTAAATCTCAGACACAAACTCATAATTCTTTATGGACTGGAACAATGTTTTCTCAAAGTAATAAATTGCAAAATGAACTATTGAATAATCATTTGGCTACCAGACTGACTTTGCACTCAATGCCAATTCACTAAAAAGTATGATTATCACTCATTGTAATCTGTGTTCGACTGCCCTTACAACTCACTATGACTGTTTATTAGAACTTCTGGAAATTCTCCTGCGCGATAATTACCACTAAAAACATGGTATACATGACTTTCTCACCAGCTGTTTAGCTGACAGTTATACTTTTATCTATCTGTTATATGGTGTTAAAAAAGATTACAAAAACCAATGAATAGGGAGAAAATGTTGGAAACTATCTATTGAAGAGGAGTTAGAAAATCACACTGAAATAATTAAAAGTTAATGGTTGCAACAACTTTTAAGAATACAGAAAATAAACGAATCCTGGTACTACACCATTTGCTTACTCACTTATGAAATCAGATGACATAATCGATAAAGGTATGTTGTTCATTATTGTAGATGGTATGGAAGGGAGCAAATATTACTAAAAACCTATGTGGCCTGAAGTCTGGCCTAGTGTAGAGATATTTATTGACTTCCGAATTCCCTTTTACGCATGTAGAAAAAACAACAGATTGAGCGAAGAAATATGTTCCTTTTCGTTTAGTTACTCATTATCAGCTGGCTCTGCACTAATATATGAGTTTTTACATCAAAATGTTCACCAACCAAATGGTTATTATAGTTGATCGGTTTTAGATATGAAAGGGGGGAAATTAAGGGGTCAAAGGTTATCAAAACAAATAACTAATAGGTATTAGTAACAAAATATCTAAGTTTTAAAAGAGGGGTGAAAATTAATTACGGAAAACAAGATAAGTTGATTTCTAGGCTTTAGCAGCAAGTCACTAAATAACCAAGAAATTCGTAAAGTAGTGATGATGACTAAGAAGAATAGGAGGGCTCAGAAGAGTTACGTAAAATACAAACAAGTTAATAGAATTAGCTAGAATTGTAAAAATTGTAAAAATTAACAAAGTCAAAAGATAGTTACAAGTAGAGGGGAAAAATCGTTTTTAACAACTTAATACATATTATGTAGTTGGTCATGGCAAAGAAAGGGTTTGCAAGGGTTTTGAACGTACAGATTTGGCTTGTTCAGATGAATTTCTATTCCCTCTGCTGTATGTAAAAGTCGTACTCGTAGACCATGCAAGAGGTTGGGCGATTTACGATAAATGACTTTAAAAGCTTTGTTAGAGTTGATTTGATGTCCACTGTCGACGTGATGAGTTAGTATTGAACTGCGTATAGCTTCATTCGGACCTTTGTCAAACAAAGATGGGATGCGTTCAGAAATTCGACGATGTATGCCTTATCATACGCCCTATGTAACTAGCTCCGCACGTGCAGTTAAACTGGAAAATACACATGGGAGATGCGAAACAGGGAAGTCTGTCTTTATTTGTTGAACTAAGTATTGTTCGGCTAGTGAATACAAAGCATAGCTAAGCTGTGCTGAAAGTCCTTTTGGAGGCCCTACTCAGACGTTGTGATAAGATCCCACCATTGACATCACCTGTGAATTGTAATCTTAGGAAGATAGACATCTTGGGAACAGTCAGAGACTTCAACCTTTTACTTTCTGAGTTCATGTGTTTGTTCACGAATTTAGTTGGATATCCGATTCTGCCTAACAGATCGCGAATATTACCAAGTTCTTCGTTCAGTTTCTCATCTGAACAGATAACTCTAGCTCGGTGAACCAGACATCTAACCGGATTACGTTTGTATTGAAAGGGGTACGAAGCTCAAGAAGTGAGTATGCTGTCCAGTGGAAGTAGGTTTTCTATACTAGCGTCTACATATTGTTCCGTCCGTTCGTTTAGTCATTAGGATGTCCAAAAAGGGGATAGAGTCATTTTCTTCTTCTTCTTCTTTAGTCAAGCTTATGCTAGGTTATGCTCTACTGAATTTATCCAATATATCCTTATTATCACTTTCTTTCTTAACAACTACAAATGTATCATCAACATATTGGCAAAGGAAATCAACATTATATATACATATATATTACATCTTTAAGAGGACCATTTAATGGTTTCGCTAGGAAAAAATCTGCTAGGATTTGGCCTAGTTTTGATCCTACCTGTTTGTCTATACATTTTTCTTCATTGAACAGGAAATGTACTTTCATAGTACACCTTAAGAGGATTTCCTTTGGGGAAGACACAAGAATTCCAAACCCTCTACCTTGTTTTATCAATTCACTGCGTATGTAATCAATTGTTTCCATCAGAGGCACACTGGTTAATGAGGAAGATGCATCCAGTGATATCATATATTTGTCCTTCACATTTAATTCTTTGATTCTTTAAACAAACTCAAAATTATCCTTTACGCTACTTTTCATAAGTTTCTTATGTCAAGATCAGTTAAAGTTCTACTAGACGTTTCGCAGTTGAATGGTATGGTGAGCTGGACGTATGGAGGACTGATCTAAGTATGCTTGTCTATATATCCTAATGTACTTACCATGGTTTTTAATCGGCAGTTCTTCGTTTTCTGTAAAACCCGCTTCATTTAATTAATAAATGCTCTATTTGTACTGTTATCATTGTTGTTTTTGCCAGTGCTGTTCAACTAACATAGTTTTATTCAGTTACTGAGTTGTAGCAGTTTGATCAATTTCACAGTAGATTTTATCACAAACTGATAACAATTTGAGGAGCATTAAAATCGAGGAAGCAATGGAGAGCCATTTCGTCCTAGTTTTATAATCTACAGCAGTTTGTGCCCACGGACACACCAGGGATCAAAACCAGTATCGTTGATATGAACAACTGAAGAAACTCAAACTAGAACAAATTGGCTGTTCAGTGTTTCTTGTTTTTTGATGCTTCTGCAACTGATCTCAGTGTGTGACTAAGTCTAACTTGATGACATCCTAATAATTGGTGAATTTTATTTGGTTTCCAAAATCCTTGATTGAATTCCTCCTGCCATTTTCAAACCTATGTAGTTAGGTTTTGTTAATTTCAGTTTGTGTATACCTCTAACATCATCAAAACTGTTATAACTATTATACTTTCTTTACCTCATGCTTAATATTAAGTATTACCCCTTAAAATAACATTTTAAAGATATTGGTGGCCTGCTTAAATCGCTGAGTTAACTAACATGCTGCGTAACATTTTCTGTAATTCTTGTTGTCTTAACCATTCAGTTATGTCCTTTAGTTGCAAAATGTATGCATGCGCATTTTCATTTGGCTTTCAAACTACCAATACGCATTTCGCAGAGGCGACAGACATTTTCACACAGGATTAGTCTACACTTCAGATTCAAAAGCATCACTTCATTTGATGTACTATAGACTGCTACTTTACCTGATGATCCCAGATGGGGAGAAAATATTACTCAGGAAAGTATGCTAAGAATTCTGTACACTGTGTAAACATTTTGTTCTGAATTAAGTTATTTATTTATTATCATTGTCTCATCAAACTTCACTATCAACTTACTACTTTCGCAACATACACAACATTCAGGCAGATCTACTTAAGTAACTCACATCGTACTGTATCGCCTGATTTAATATCTTGTGTACGTATGAATTCCTGTATTTAAGTATACTTTTGCAGAGTTTAAAGCTAATAACTGCAACTGAAATTAATGAAATCAACAAATTTTACTTTAGATATTTTATATGGAAGAAATTAAGTATGGAAATGCGTTCTCCACTATCTCGATTAGAGTTATTATAGTGGAAATGTATATGAAATACTCATTTTGGGTTAGTGGATAGCTTACAATGACCTGTTAGAAAAGTTCATAAGAGATATGTCTAAGCTTTTTGTCTTGTTGACATATGTACTAACTAGGGTACTTAGAGAGAAATATTCAATAATTGTTAATTTCAAGAGATGATTTTCTATGTTACATTTTGAAATTTTTCATTGTTTCTCAAATTTAAGCACCAGTTGATTGCATCAAATGTTTACATGCATAAATATTTATAGTAAGTAGAATCATAATTACCAATCGATTGAAATTTAATGATTCATTATATTGGTGTGTTAAACAAAACAAGGAATAATAGCATCTGTAAAATCCAAGCACATATGCATGTATATTGCAGTTAATCAATAGGATCGTATTCTAAGTCAAGTGAGCTTATGTCAATTAGCACACTCAGACATTGTTTATTTGATAGTTTAATAGAAAGAATTCATCATTACGTCAAACGAAGGAGTAGAGGCATGACATTAGTTACTGCCTAGTGTCCAATTAAAGTTTAATAATTCCCTGATTCTTATTTGATCAAATGATCATATCATTTGTAACTGCAACTTAAGTTGGCGTCTTAAAACTGAATGGTTATTGTGACTGTTTTGTCTCCCGACTTACGTAATACTACTGTTGGAAAATATGTGAAAATATACTTAATAAGGACAAGTTTACATCTTAAGGCCAATTATTTGACAAGAATTCATATTATTAATGAAAATGCTAGTGTTTATATACGTGAATGATTGCTGTCTTAATTTTAACTACCAAACTGAAATATTATGCACCACAAAGTATTTGTCTTGAGTCCCGTTGTTGCAAAAGACTACAAGCTTCTGTTCATTTTTCATTCTTAAGTGCCTGAACATTGAAACTGTTATTTAATACTGACCCATTATATTTAAGTAAATCCCCTGTCCTCATTGAAAATATATCCTAAGATATAAATGAACACAGAATACCAGGTTGATTTCGATAAGTTCACGTTTATTATTCTTCATAAATAAACAATTTATCTCTAGATTATTAAACTGGTCAGTGTTCTAAAAATGTCATCATAAGCTGAAATGCAGACTATGTAGTAGTACATGAAACAGTTAATTACCTATATTTGGCTGAAAGTTGCCTACTATAAATCCGATTTAATGACTGAGACATCAGGGAATACGACTGGACAAAAAGATGGAAGTTGTCATGACACCTAGTTTTTACAGAATACTATGTAAATACTATTCTTGGTGAGTTCTTAACCGGATCAAGTCAAATAAATATCTTTTTAGAAAACCTGATTTTCCTTACAAATCTGATTGTAAAGATAATCCACGTTCAAACGGTTTCTTAGTCTTCATTTCTACATGTGGAAGAAATGATATCTGAAAACACTTGAGAACTTTGATTTTTTCACAGAACACAGTAACCGTACAGCATACTGTGCACAATGTAAATGAAAACTGTCTGTACTGGTTGCAGGTTTTTCAACTAATCTACTCATATGCTGGCTATGTTTGTAGGATCCCAGGAGAAACATCAGCGTAAACTCAGCCGATGTTAATGCAACAAATATACATGGTTTTTGCGACGATACACGAGCAATGTTATATATTACATGGGGTCATAATGATAGCATTTTGTGGTCTATTTCCTTCACATTCCACTTATATACTGGTGGTTACTACTCAATGGATTCAATTGATCTTGATTATCGTATAAATGGAAGTAAGTGAACACAACCAAATCACTCTACTTACATATAATTTTCATATAAATTACACAAGTTCAAATACAGCATAAGAACAATAAGAAGTTTGCTATATTTTATATGTGATTTGCAAATAAGATTCTTGTGAATAAAATAAATTTTTAAGTGGATTTCTCACTTAATATTCGTTAATTCGTATCATAAACACCCAAAATTTTGAGTGATAGCCTCGAATAATACTGTAATAGTTGGCATCTTCAAAAATTACAGTAAAGAATAATGACTCTTATAGAGTCTCTAAGTACCTGAATAACAAAACTGAAGGGTAAAGAAAGATTAATAATAGTGACGTAGACACAAAGATGAAATACATCTCAAATATATATCGAGAACAATAAATAAAGTTCACCAGCACAAATGTGACAGGGTCTCAGCCAACAGGATATTAGAAAACAACAAGATACTTGAATCCCTTATGAATCATCGATGATTAGTCCATGTATTGATAACTTGCTCAGGATATTAATGTTAACCCATGGGAGCACATACACTTGGTAAGACAACCAAACTGATGATGCTGAGATTAAACATAAAATCTTCATTACTAAATATAAACAAACTAATGAGGCTAAGAAGATATACTGATGTGGAGTTATCAACCACGCTTAACGCAGTGAAGTAGGAAACATAAAAGCGAGAAAAAGACTTTTTGAAGTGCGTATTATCTCGCATACATTTTTCTAATGAAAAATCATGTCTAATATAAGATAGACCAATCTATTCACATATTTTCATATTATTTCATCTCAAGCGAAGTTTCATCCATTAGTGTTTTGTCTAACTGCTGGGAACGAAGGTTTGCAAGTTCATTTAAGATACCTTCAGATTGATAGGCTAATGCTGATACCATACATGATAACTCGACTCGAGTTGGAGCACAGAATCGTGGATTATTAATTTGGAAATAGGTGAATACCTCGATGTCTAAAATAACAGAAAAATATGAGTACGGTATTCTGAGTGTAATAACCGCGGACATTTATCGAAATGGCGAATGAGAACAAGTAACATTTAGAGATATACCAAAAGTTTATAAATACTTGGAGCGAGATGTGAAACATTTATGCACGAAGAAATTCAGCTTCCACTTGATTGGTAATTTTTAATGGTAAATTTTACTTCAGACTATAAACTGTGAGTAGACACCAAATTGCAGTCTCTACAATTGAAAAATTTGTCGATTCTAAAATGCAGGTGGTGAATGGATAGTATCTATTTAATGTTAAATGTAGAGTAATTTTACAGAAATAAAATAAATTTCAGGGAAACAAATCAATACTAGTCGTTTTTTACTCTCATCTGTTTTACATTTATCACATTATACCTATCTGATTATAGTAATCTGTTCACATCATACCATTTTCAGGTTATGTAGCTACGAAATCAAATAAGGAAATGTTTACCATTCCAGTAGGAAGTTACTACAATTGTTCTAAACAACAGAGGATGGAACTATTCTCAAATAATGCACAAGATTATATGGTACGAATCATATTTGAGACTCTTCAAGTAGAAGCATTCAGAAGTAGTAAAGAAACTAACTTTGTTGGAACCGGTATGTTTTCTAAGATTATTGAATATGCAAGATGCATTCATGTTTGAAAGCTTGGTTCTTGTAGGCTTTTATGAAAGTTTAGTTTGTGTAATTGATAGAATTAAATAAGTCACAATCCCTTTTCTTTAAATGTTATACGGACTGTTTGAACAATATTAAAATAGTCCGCTCTTTTCATCATACAGCTGTTTCATTCAGTTTTCTTAAATCGGTTTACAAACTGTTGATCCTTGAATTAACTGTAGGCTTAGACATGGAATTTATCATGAATATAGTATATTTTATTTTAACACAAAATTTACTGACACATTCACTTGTTTCCATAAGACAACTGGTAAAAGTAAACTGACAAACAATTCAAAGTATTCAGAATGAATGAAGAAATAACTTGGAGATGTTGATTTAATCAACACATAGATATCCAAGCCTTAAAACAAAGGTTGCTAAGTAAATCCTGAGAAATCTGAGATTCTACACCATGAGAATTTCGACTTACAGTATTATTATCATACCAGACTGTAAAGGTGATTTAATATCCTATATGAATTCATAAAAACATTTAGTGTTAGTAGAAAGGTTTTGTTTTGTTTACAACTTTTAAAGTAATGACACCAGTACTTTGTTAATTCTGTGTTTGCTGAATAATGTACAATCATGCCGATAATCTGCCTCATTCTCTGTTCCACATGGAATAAATCATGAGTAGTCCCATATATATTTTCAGTATTACTAATTAAATGAGGATTATATACATGTGCCCTTTGTCTAATTTCATCACTATGCAAAAAGTGGTGGTGTTGAATCTGAGATACATTCAGGCACAAGACAGAGTGCACGTCAAGTGAGATATGACTTTAGGAATTAACACATGACACAAAGTACAAATTACATGTATAATGACTGCTCCATTCAGTATGCCGGACTCCGTGATAGATTTCCGTCGATAATTTTCAAGATATTCTCTCTATTTAGAAACGCGCCAACATCTACACTGCCCGTAACTTAAGTTTTAAGAAAATTTCCTAGTGCCTCAATAAAACCAGCAAAACAACCAATTCGCAAAACACTACTGGATTTTATTCGTTATAAAGATACTAAATTGTCTAAATAGGAATGATGGACTAAAACAGAATCTGACCTGGTTACAACACCGCCCTCCTCCATGAAGTGACGAAATCAACACGAATGTGATAAGCAATTTCATTATGTAAACACACGCTGCTTTTATAATTTTACACACATATCAAATCCAACAATCTACACCTGGTTTTTTTGTCTTTATCAACTGGCCAATTTGACAACGGAAAAATGACCCCATGCTGAGGAACGATGATTAAGTTGTTATATATAAGCTGAGATTTTGTAAATTCTGGTTTAATAATACTTTGATAAATCTATTAGGATTAAATACCGAAATGTCAGTAAAAACAATATCGTTTTGTTTTTCATTCATTGGGAAATACATAAAAACTTTATTATTCTTACGTGATCGCTAGAAAGTATTAATATAAATAATCCGTTTCATTTCTGTACTGAATGATCATTTTTGCATACTGTGTATTCACTGTAAGCAACTAGGTCGCTTTTTCGCAGCAACACATTCTGATCAATTTTATATTGATGTCCTATAATCACAAGAACAAAGAGAATTTGAAGCAATTCCCACAAAATATAATGGGTACAGAAGGCTTGTAATCTGGCTAAAGTTTTCCATTAGTTCTCAAATCAGTTAACTAACCCTATGAATTTTGTCTTCAGTTCCGATTTTAAATGTTGTAGTTTAGCTTGCAAACAAAATATTAATGATATGAAAACAATCTATTTCAATCCTTTTCAATTAAACAAAACTCTTTGAGTGAAGCATCTATCCATGCTTCAAAGTGAACGTAATGTTTACCTAAGAATGAGTAGTATTTTTTGTGGGGTAAGAAGTTTATGAAAACCTTCAAGTGTAGGAACAAGGTTTTTCGACGTCATGATATGACAAGTACAGATGAGCTTCAAGGGCATACCTGGAAGCTATGGCCCTCAGATTCTTATTTGCACGCACCTAAAAACAAGCAAAAACAAGAATACAAACATACAATCTACTCTGACAGCGAAATTATACTCATTCTGTGCTGTTTGAACACATTTGTGCCTTATCAGAATAAATTTGTTGCTTCTGTTTACATTTTCTTAAATCTCTGTGATTGCATTGATTTATGATTTACACGAATCGTGGCATATGCAGTCAATAATTTTCAATGGAGTTAAATATTTTTGCGTATTTTTGCGCTTCATAAAGTGATATGCTCTGCACAGTTTAAAAAGACTGGAGTTCATTATCTTACTTATGAAATGCAGTATTATGTGCTAGAGGTTCTGTTGAAGTATACATATACATTCTTCTAATGATGTGCAGCTAAGCGAAATTTTTATTTAATTATTACACGATAAACAGAAGGAAGTCTTGTCACAGATATTGGTGTTTAGTTTATAAGTCTAGTAGCTGAAAAAGTCTAAATATGTAAAATGATTAACATTATGTATTTCCCTGTATGATGTTCTTATTACCCGAGACGTATGCTTTTGTTTTTCCATGAGACATTACCACAAGTGAGTACTCATTAGCTAGGTGTTCACAAAGATATAAATTCACTGTACTCCTAGTAAATCATTGTTTAATACTAAAAACAGTCTGTAACTTTCAAATATATTTGTACGCTTGTCATTCTCATTTTCTTGGTGTTTAAAATCCCACTGGTTCACATAAAGAACTATTTCAAACCAATTATAGTTGATGCCATTCAAACTCAGGTTAAACATAGTATTATAAAGTTATATTTTTCTATGATGATATATGGTTAACAGAAGAATAAGGCAAACTGATATAAATCTTTGTACCCTTATCATGCAGGAGTCTATTATTGTATTAAATATTTTCAGTATATTGATTTATAACTTAAATATTTATCGTATTGTGTTTTTTGTCCAACAACAGAGTCACGTTGTACTGTGGAAGACAGAGATCATGTTGTGACATCTATTGTCGTAACCATATCTATTATAACTATGGCCTTAGTCTTTCTGTGCACATTTTGTTTAACTTCTGATGAAACAGATGATGCATAGATGTCAAGTGAATTTTTTTGTTATTCTATTGAATGCATTTTTAAAACACGACAATTACAGAATCCATTCTGTGTGCTTTGTAAAGTGTTTGGTGTTTCATATTCTGGCAAGAAAACGACCTCATCATATTGCCTTACTAACTTTATCAGTGTTCAGCTTCTTAAGAAGAATTGTATCATATGTGCTTTATGTTTTGGCAAATTGGCTTCTGAATTTTGCTTCAGTCAGCAACCTTTTTTCTGGCTACATTTGAATTTATCAGTGTTTTCAATTCTCTAATGACCAACGAGTAATCTTATATTTTTCCCCTGAGTTATCTGTTTGCTCTGACTCTCACAAATAGACTTCCGATCCTGATTCTAAGGGGATATTTCTGCTTGTCATAATTTGATACTTTTGCATCAAAAAGCTCCATGTTAAATGTATAGTGGTCAAACAATTTTTTCGAAGTACCATTTTGTTGCACATTTTATAACTACTTTACGATGATGTATTTTTTTTCTTTGTCTATTGATGACTCAGGAAGTCACTTGACATCTGTTTCTTAAAAAACTAATCTGAACGATTAGCTTGACTAAAAGAAAGTCATTCATTCTATTCACACTTGCGAGATAATTAGTGAAAGCAAATATTAATCCTAGCGACACAAATGTAACGAAGTGTAGCAGTAAGTTTGAAAAGCATTGAGAACATCTGTTCAAGAAGAATGGAAATTTTAAATTCTTATTAGATTTCTACAAAATCTGGGACCCGATTTTGCTAATCAACGCATTGCCGAAGGGTGTTTAGTTTGACAAATTTCAACCAGATTGGTGAGAAAATGATAATGAGGATTCGTACGCTTTACCTTATAATAAGTAAGCGTTAATAATTCATACATAATAATAATTGTGTCATCGTCAACTGTATGACAACGTTATTGAAATCAGTAGTAAGAAAACAGAATTTGAAATTCTTAAATCCACGCTAAGTCGCACAATGTTCTGGGTTCACTTTAATGGTGATAGATGTGACATAATGAAAATACATACTGTTATTTTACATTGCAGCCGCCTCGATTAATAAGGTATTTATTTCTTTGCATGAAAAACATACTTCCAGTGACAGAATATTTTATGCTTAATTGGTGAAAGCACAATGACACCATGCAAAAAATTTTAAAGGTCAAACCTAGTTCGAAAATTACATTCTAATGTCAGCAGGCATTTTCGGTGAACCTATAAATCGTTACGTCTTGAAATATTAAGCATTTTATAACCACATTATTGAAGCATATTTAATATCAGAATGATATACCTGTAAACTAATCTTTTGGGTCGCTACTGTGATCAAAGCATGCGTTTCGAAAAAACATGCAACTCAATGTAAATAAAGATGTATTATTATTATTGTTCCCTTGGGTTCCTAGTGGAACATAGGGCTTCAACTGCACACCTCCACTTGTTTCTGTCTTCTGATGTACTTTTCACTTGCATCCATGTTATTCCGTACTGTTTCAACTCTTCTTCACACGATCTCCTCCATGTCACCCTTGAACGTCCAACTCGCCACTTCCCTTTCTGGTTCAACTCGAGGGTCTGACGCGCGATGTCACCCAGCGGCCTCCTCAGCGAGTGTCCAATCCATCTCCACTTTCTCCTGCATATTTGTTGGGCGATTGGTTCTTGTTTTGTTTGTTCCCATAGTTTCTTGTTGGTGATTCTTTCCGGCCATCTGATCTTCAGCATAGAACGAAGACAGTTATTGATAAAGGTCTGCAACCTGTTGGAAATATTCTTTGTGACCCGCCAAGTTTTTGATCCGTATAAAAGAACTGACTGACTTGACGTTTGTATTGAAAATCCGAATTTTGTTGTTGATGGTGAGTGACGAAGATTTCCAGATTGGTTTCAGGTTGATGAATGTGTTTCTCGCCTTCCCGATTCTCGATTTGACATCCTCGTCCGTTCCTCCTGTAGTTGAGACAATGCTCCCTACCTAGATAAGTGAATGAAGTAACCTCTTTCAAATCCCTCCCGTTGATGGTGATTGGCGCTGGATGTTGCTGTTGTTGTTGTTGGTTGGTTATTTTCATAACTTCCGTCTTGTCTATGTTCACCTGCAGTCCTGTCTTTGCTGCTTCTTCGACCAGTTTGTCGGTTTTCGCTTGTAAGTCTTCGATTTTGTGTGCCATCAAACATAAATCATCCGTGAAATCCAGGTCTTCTAGGTTCTTCACGTCGGTCCAGGATATCCCTGTCTTCTCGTTTCCCACTGTCTGACGCATAATCCAGTCCACCACAATTAGAAATATCATTGGTGATAATAAGCACCCTTGTCTGACTCCAGTGTTTACTCCAAACGCCTCGCTGAGTTTTCCGTTGTGGATCACTTGACATGTGCCGTTGTCGTACAGCTGTTGAATAAGGTTGATGAATATTTGGGGTACGCCGTAGTACTTGAGTAAATTCCAAATTACTTCGCAGTCAACGATATCGAAGGCCTTCTCAAAGTCTATGAAATTGAAGTAGAGGTTTGATTGCCATTCCATGCTCTGTTCGATGATGATGCGTAGAGTTGCATTTTGCTTAGAACATGATTTGCCTTTCCTGAATCCAGCTTGTTCTGGTCGGAATTCTGTATCCAGTGCGTCCTTTATTCTCTCCAGGATGATGCGACTCAGGATTTTACTTGGCGTCGACAGGAGCATGATTCCTCGTCAGTTCTTGCAGAGTCCTAGGTCACACTTCTTTGATAGTTTCACGAGGTAACCTTTCCTCCAGTCTGTAGGCAACTTTCCCTCTTTCCAGATCTTTTGCAATAATGGAGTCAGCATATTTGCTGTCGTCTCCGGGTTCGCTTTCAGTGCTTCCGGGGGTATTCCATCTGGTCCAGCTGCTTTTCCAGCTTTCAGAAGCTTGATTGCATTCAAGATTTCAGCTTTCGTTGGAGGATCGGCGTCAACTTGCAGTTGTGTACGTGCTGTTGTTGGTATTTCTGGACGGGTTGTAGGTGGTGGTCGGTTCAATAGTCCTTTGAAGTGGTCCGCTCATTGTTTAATCTGTCTTTCTTCTTTGGTAATTGGGTTCCCTTGGCTGTCTTTTATAGGTTTCACTTGTGTTGATCTCTTCCCGGATAGAGACTTGGTTATCTGATATAGTGTCCTCAGGTCCCTTTTGCCTGCTGCCTCCTCAGCTTCAGTAGCCAGGTTGTCGTAGAATTGTCTTTTGTCCTTCCTGGCACTGTTCTTCACTTCTTTGTCCAGTGCTGTGTAAGTTGAGCTCAGCGTCTCTTTCTCTTGTCCATCTTTGCATTGAATCATTTTCTCTTTCACCATTCTCCTCTTCTCTATTAGCTTCCAAGTGTCCGTTGAGAGCCATTCCTTGTCTTGTTTCTTCTTTATTTCTAAAACCGTTGAACACGTTTCGTTGAAAATTACCTTCAGAGAGTTCCAATGGTCTTCCACGGATGATTCCTCAGTGGTGCCACGTAGTGTTTCTTGCTTTGCTCTGACAATTGCAGTGAAAATGTCTTTTGTGATTGTGTCCTTCAGTTTTGAGTGTTGAACTTGCATTGTGGCCTATCCCCAGCTATCCTCGAGGCTTTTAGCTTCACCTTGAAAGTCCCTTGTACTAGGTAGTGGTCTGAACCCACATCTGCTCCTCTCCTCGATCTTGTGTCCAGTAGGCTCCGTCTCCACTTCCTTGAGATTGAAATGAAGTCTATCTGGTTTTTGGTGTGTCCATCTGGTGAAATCCATGTTGCCTTGTGTGTATGCTTGTGTTTAAACACAATGTCACCAATCACCATATCATTGAAGGTGCAGAAGTCTGAGAAGAGTTCACCATTGTCGTTCATTTCACCAAGGGCCTCACGACCCATGGTGAGTTCTCTCCCTGTATTGTCTCCTCCCAGTTTCGCATTCATGTCACCCATCAGGATTTTGATATCGCTCTTTGGGACGTTGTCCATTACTGTTTGTAGTTGACTGTAGAAATCCTCCTTCTTCTATTGTTCTGAGACGTTTGTAGGCGCATAGCACTGAATGATTGTAACCTTCCTTACTTTTGAGTTGAACCTGGCTGTCATTATCCTGGAGGAGATTGGTTCCCACTGCATGAGAGCTTTGGCTGCTGTTGGTGACATCATGATGGCTACTCCCTCAGTGTGCTCGTGATTGTCCTCTGGGTGTCCGGAGTACATTATTGTCTCTCCAGTTTGCAGTTGGCACCTTCAGCATCCGTTCCATCTGCTCTCGCAGATTCCCAACACTTCTATTTTATATCTCCTCATTTCTGCGGCTACCTGAGCAGCCTTTCCAGTTTCGTACATTGTACGAATATTCCACGTCCCCATCCTTATTTTTGCTTTCATCGAAAGAAGGCACATCGGCTGACTGGCTTCCTGAAGGCTTTCACCAGCCTGCGTCATTTCAATTCCCCGATTCCAGCGAAAAATAAGGTCATTGTTTGTATTTGTAGAATTTTTAATATATTTGTGCGTTGAAGTTTTAGTAGCAATTTGGTTAAGTTTTGGGGGTGGAGTTGCTAGCACCACGCCCCAACCTTCCCTCTTTATCCGGGCTTGGGACCGGCTAGAATACTAGTGACCTAGTAATCTAGGCGAGGTTAAATAAAGATGTAATAATTACTAAAAAGAACGATAATGAACAGAAATGTATGGTTTCATGGGAAAACATGACGACTCAATCGATCTAGGAGATTATAGAGAGCGTATGCGTCTGCGTTTTCATCGTCGATGTAGCTGCAACACTTCACTTATTTCCTTTACCTACCCATTTAACACTATGCATAACCACAATATTATTCGCTGTGTTACACCAATTAACGGAGGAGGGCAAAAAAAGACGCATCTTGATCTCTTTCACCGCCAGTGGCTATTGCCACGCTCATAAAGAAAGATGTGGAAAACTCCTGAGCATTATATACATCCTTTGGTTGATGGGAGGATATATCATCCACTCCATAGATGACATAATTTAACAAATGCCACACAAACTT